TCCCTGATGCAGCTGCTACTTCCATTTCACTAGCTATCGTTGCCCACCAGTTCTCACGGTGAGAAACTGGCAGCTCCAATGGTGGTAAAACATCCCTAGAGATGATTACAAACTATGCCCGTAGACACATTATATTTTATGCATGTCGAAATTCAGACTGTTCTAAACCAATCGCGATACAACAATCTTTATAACCGGGGAATCAGTCCGTATCACTAAGGCCAGTGGTCAGACTGGCTTTCAAATCAGTTGAAACCCCGGTCAAAGTCGATTGCGAATCCCGAATCATGCCATGTTCAGAATGAAACATCACCACTAGTGAATGGGTGACTGAGCAGTATAAATACACTGGCTAACTCGACTTCGTAGTGCTTTGGTACTACGCCGGTTCTACTGACAAAACAATCAGTCGCCGTTTAAATTTGTCATTAGATGCAATCAATACAACGCACTAACTCGCTGATGGGATTTTAGAGCTTCCAGTATGCAAGGATAAAACAAGAAAGCACAAGTGATTCTTAGGTGCATTATGCCACTTACGTACACCTAGCGGAATTAGTACAGGTCGTCAAGGAAGAGAAAGTATTTGGCAAGTGATACACGTGAAGATATTAGTCAATCTCCTGCTATGTCGCACCCCTCGGGAATCCAAAAAGTTGATAAATTCCAGGAACTGGCACAGTTAGTTAGTTAGTAGTAGATGCTATTAAATAGTATGAAAAATCGGTTGAGTTTAATGACAAAATAAACCGGATCGATGAAAAGTACGTTAATTCCGTTGCTTGTTCCTAATGTTTTTGATTATGTACTTCTAATTTATAACGGAATTTAGATAAACCGTCTTCTTTATCCTTTATTTATCGAAGAAATTGAAATCCTTCATGATGACCTCAGCTTACCATCTTCTCCCTGTGGTCCACTTTTATTTTCACTCACTTCTCGCACTGCGCACCAAGCTGGTTTTCTATTCCGCGCAAAGCGTTTCTTTACACCCGAGCACCTCCTTTTATACAAATCTCAAATACTGCAGTCACGTACAGGGTGGAGCTTCGTATTCCGCTCTTTTTCCCCTCGACCGTGTTCAAAGTAAGGCCATCCGGCTGATCGACGAACTTCCAATCTACAGTCGCTTGGCCATCGCCGGGCATTTGCTTCCTTATCTCTTTTCTATCGTTACTATTTTGGTTTCTGCTCTTCCTAACTCGCTTCAGCGGTTCCTCTTTCATTGACCTTTTCTCATCCATCTGATTCTCAGGCGGGCAATCACCCTTATCAGACTTCTGTCCCCGGATGTCGGACTCTCAATTTGTTTCCCCGAGGATAGCGAAATTGTGGAACACTCTTCCGATTTCCGTGTTTCCGAGCCCACATAACCTTACTCTTTGCAAAAGCAGGATTAACAAATTGATTCTCTCTTGAATGTTCCCCCAAATACCCTCCCCCTAACAGTATGTCATCGACTGTGGGGTTTACTCCCTTTACTGTAAACCACTTCGTGTGTAATAAAAACACTGCACCCGGTATCCAACCCTTTGTCAGTTTCAAGTGTTTAGTTATCCCGAAACTAACTACCTTTCCGCCCAATTACCGCATATTAATTTCATATGTTCCTCCATTCCTTTGCAATGTTAGACTAACCACAGAATTGAGTATATGGCATTTATCATAGTATACAACAGCTTTAGCTATAATAATCACAGCATCAATACTAACCCATTCGATAAAAACAAGAGTGAATCAGGTCGAACACAATGAGAAGACGGGACAAAAAATCGCATTCGAAGGAAATCACACCTAAAATAGGTGAAATATTTGTTACGGGGGTAAATCAAACTGGTTGGTCGCTATGCAATCTATTTATTTCTAGTGAAAAATGCATAGCATCAGCGCTGTAGACATCAATTGGTTCGTTGCCAGTGTATGTTCAAACCGATTGATACATTCGTTACGGCTAGTGTCGGTGAAGGATTAGGTTCAACACGTGTATCGCTCAAACAGTCAGGGGCTCGTCAAAACCGAGTTAAGATGACGCTTAGTCAATGACTTGTCTAATTTCTTCGGTAACAATGATAAGTACGATTAGCGTTCATTCATTCACACAGGTGCGTCAGCGCGATGGCATTAATCATTCGTTTGGATTTGACATCTTACTCCACACAGCCACTTACTGGACAGTCGCGATAATTGTTCACCGGTTTGTACGACCCAGTCCATCGATGGACCGAATACCCGTGACTGCTGCAACAAAAATGATCACACTCGAGTTCCCCACGGAACTGTAGAAGAAACTTCCGCAGCTTACAAAGATATACTTTTAACGTAATTATAAATCGTTGTCTTAGCTTGGCTCTCTTCTGGAATTCAACGAAGGCGCTGTTCAAGTGAATAGTACAATCCAAGAATCAACCGCAAACCCGAGCATTAGCCAAAGCAAACAGCTTCAATTGATCCAGTGGCTCTCTAATTGAGATAACTTCCAGTGCATTCACCTTCTTTGCGACGCTCACCTTGATTCAAAACGAGTTCATCTTATAACTAAAAAATAGCCCACTTCTTTATCATCGAATTCTAAACAGGCGATTTATTTTTCAATAATAGACACAGTGAATAAGATCTTCAATCAGATCAAATTTATCCTCTGGTGGCTGCATCGATGTTGAAATGTTGAACACAGCGTTTATGAAAGCGTTGATCAGTACGTGCGGATGCACAGACAGCCAAGCTTTCTTGACCAGATGCATGGCCACTTGTGATTTCATGCTAATTTGTTCATCTGTATTCAAAGACCAAATATATTCTAGTAAATGCTTCTGAAACGAACATTTAAAAGACCAAATCACATTCCATTTCGCCTGTTCGCCGAACTTGGCAATTTGCTTGCAAACGTTTCATCACCAGCCGAGGTGAAATCATCGACACTAACGACTGAAATCTTCCAGTAGCCAATGGTGATAACTTTTTTCCAGTTATGCTCCCACAAAGTAGTAACACGACTATTTCTATGGATTTCTTGGATCCAGAAACTGCTTGCAATACAAAGCTCTTTTATCTGCATTGAAAATATCACGGTCAACCTATCTATGGATCAACTGCGGTAAAAACGGTCGAAACTCGTCCACTGCATCACGCGGCATCGCATAACTTTCCGCACAAATCTATAAAGTGATGCACATGGGTGGTGGCTTGTCACTTACTTTGTAGGATTGAATAACACAGCTGTCCCACTAAGAGCAAAACCAACTTTTAATTTCCTAGAAGTCACGATGAAGCATCCTTTGTTCTAGTTGGATTGCCTTCTTACAAATGACGCTCTAGACCACAAGAAACTGGCCGTGCCTTCTCCTCAGAGCGGTAAACCAAACCAAGGTTACTTCATTCATTGTTTTGATTTTTCCGTTATTTTTCAGGCGGCACCTTTCCAGTATTCACAAATTATCCGATAGTTGTTCGACGGGATATAACACTGTAAAGGTTTTTCTTGAAGTAGAGTGATTCGGCAACGGGACTCTCAGTTGCACACAACCGATGCAGTATTTTCTACACATCTTAAAGTCAAGTGACAATGTCTAAACTCTTACACAGCCTTTCCCTGAAAGGTGTGCCCGAGAAGCTTATTTCAATATTACGATCACTTTATACTAATAGCCGAAGTCGAGTCCGGGCATACGGCACTTTTTCGCCCGATTTCACCACAGAAAGTGGTGTTCGTCAAGATTGCCCTCTCTCCTTTTCTATTCAACTTTGTTACAGATCTAGGTATGGAAATAGCCCTATTCTCGCGCGAGGAAAGTGACATCGATTTACCACCAGGTGGCAGACTGCCTGATCTAGAGTATGCAGACGACACTGTGCTACTAAGTGAAGATGCAGGTAAGTTGCAAGCTTTTTTGGACAGCTTCAATGCCAGTATAGCCATGTTCGGTAGGCATTTTGTACCTTCGAAGTATAAAATGTGAGTACAAGACTGGGTTGGTCATGCACCCAGAATCACCCTAACTGGAGAAGTAATAGAGCAAGTGGATAAGTTTTGTTATTTAGGCAGCTACATCTCACCCGGTGAACGCATCACGGATGAAGTGTCTACGCGCATACATTAGGCTCAGTTGGCATTTGCAAACTTGAGACATATGTGGCGCCGTCACGATCCGGTTATCTGTCCGCTGTCTACGCAGCAGTGCTGAGTTTAAGCGCAGATTTGTGGGTAACCTCGGTCGCCCACTGGAGCAAGTGATTGCTTGGTTGAGGCGTGTTTTATGCATGTCACCAAATAGGCTGTTAGGGCGAGCGATGTTTGCCGAGGCAATTAGTAGAATGTACGGATACTGAGTTTCTATTTAACTTCGTGATAGATTCAATTCTTGAAGCAGCCGTATCCTCGTTCGAGGATGTTGATATTGGTTTACTTCCAGGTGGCAGACTATCTGATCTAGAGTATGCAGACGACGATGAAGTATCGACTAGCGTAAAGATGGCTTGACTGGCATTCACCAAGTTGAGACCTCTGCGGCGTCGCCCCGAGATTCCGTTGTTTGTGAAGGGTGGAGTATCTGCTGCGGCAAACTGGCCAGTTCTTCTATACAGCGCAGAAGTTTGGCCATTAAGAAAACAATATAAGGATAGACTGACGGTGTTTGAACACCGCTGTCTACGCAGCATTGCACGAATCTGATGGGGCAGCCGGACGAACAATGCTGAGGTCAGGCAAAGAGTTTTGGGTATCCGCGGTCGCCCACTGGAGCAAGTGGTCGACCTCCATAGATTACGTTGTTTGGGACGTGTTACGCATGTCATCAAATAGGTTGCCATGGTGAGCGATGTTCGCCGAGGCAAGTAGTGGATGGAAAAAAGTCAAGGGTGGTCAAGCTAAGATCTGGCACGAGGTTATGGAAACCTTGACCAGGGGACTAGGTCATATAGGTCCTGTTAGGCTCCCTGGCTAGGGACCTCGAGAAGATCGTACCCGATGGCTAGAGACTGAATGAAATGGCTGGGTGTCGTAAACAGTAGCGTTCATGCATTTTCTCAATTTCTTTGCAGCCAATAGTTTACTGGAGTTCTCAATTTTCTGTTAGGCTCTACCTTCAACTTTCCCGTTCTTCTCCTATTATTCATCCAAAGTGGCAGCAAAAAACAGCAACAAAAACCGGCGCACGAAAGTGCATGGTTAATGGTTGTTCAAACTGAAACTATCTTCTATTATTCGCATTAGTGTCTCCCTGTGAAGGATTATCCAATCAATCATGTCATTTTCTTGTCACACTAGGTGAAACGCCATTGGCTGAGTACGATATTGCAGGTTGGTTGGTTGATGACCGTCACGAACATCGCTCAACGACCAAGTGAGTAGATATCAGAAACTGCGTTATTAAGCATAGGGTTGATTTGGGTTTTGCAAAAAGTGGGAAGATATTGGAAAATGCGACTTCACAGAGGTGCGACATAGCAGGAGATTGACTGTTTATGAGTAAATCATCAACTTTTCGTCTTGATTGCATTACTCGGAACATTATCTCGGGGTCCGGGTGTAATGCTGTTTTACGGGAATAAACACTGACTCAAGATCACTAAAAACCTGTGACGAAAATAACAGTAC